GAGAGCCAAGATAAGCTTTGAGTGGATATTGGTCCACTACACACCTAACCCAAGAGGCATACAAGGGCTGCCACTTAGAACCCCACTTTTCCAAAGTGACTGACTGTCCAATGACTTTATTAAACCTTGTGGCTGACAAGTCTAAGAAATCAGTTGTTGGTCTACGCAAAGCACCGTCTATATGGGAATTTATTCGTCTAGTAAAACAGGAGATGAAATCTGCACTCTGAAAATGGTATCCAGGATAAAGAAGGGAAGGAGGAAAAACAACTGATTTAAACTAAATGTAGCATATTTTTCTCTTTTGAGATTACAGCCTATATTGTTACAAAGGAGAATGCACTTTGGAAAAAAATTCAAGATGACATATAATATATACATTCTTTACACTTGACTTCCATGTGCTAAAATGACTCATTCTCACATTTTGGAAGCATTGCATGCACACTTTGACCAGATAAGCTGGTTTTCAGGGTATGTAGTTTGTAGGACTTAAAACAGTCTTGTGTGTTTACTTCATCGGAAAATAATAAATTTGGTCCACAAGCTGCATTATTGATTGCACTCAACCAAACACGACAGGTTTAAAATATGGAGTGCCAATTAAAAAGGGAAATTAACCGACAGTCACTCACCCATGTATTTGAATGTTTACTCCTGTGAGCAGCTTGTGGGGATAAAGGCACGACGCAATAAAGTCTTAAAGAGCCCTTCCCCAGTCACTGAAAACGGATGCCTTGTGACAGCTCTGGAAGCACTTGTGTTGCTTTCTGTAAATTACTACATGAAAAAAGGCTAAGTTTCAGAAAGAAGGAAAAACCCCACATACACAGTTCCCCAAACCAGCTTCAAAACAACGAGCTTGCAAACAGCTTCAAGGCCAACCAAATTGTCTATTTAGCAGCACCATCAAGACATCTGCTTTCTTTTACCTTATTAAGCCACCAATCACTTGCCAAGTATTGTTTCTAGACTCGCACTGCACAGAAATTAGCTGGGCTGCTAGTTTTAGGGACAACTGTATATTCCATGTAAATCCATAAAAAAACATAAAAGGGATGAGTCTTCCACCTGAAAATAATATATCAAAGTTGCTTTCAAATGGCATCCAAGCATGGTCACTATTATGAACAATGCAATTATGTTTAAATCCTGGCTTAAAATCATTGTAGTTTCTAAAATTTAAAAAAAAAAAAAAAAAAGAAATGAAACCTCTCATTTTAATCCGGTGATTTGAAACCGTTGGAGTAATTTTCCACTTGCTACAATTGGCTGTGCTTATCATTTTAAATGATATTTTATGATTTACAATACATATACACACATACACACATATATGTATGTAGATTAAGTTCATTCTATATTTCTTTGGGAAATAAAGTACCAAACTTTCCATCTGACAAGGTATATTTGCAATGCTTTGGTTAAATACTCATGTCCTTAATTTCAAGGGAAATACAATTTTCTCTTTTTTCTAAAAATATAGGATGCTGTATCTCTGTACCAGTAACAACCCCCCAAACACACACACACACACACACACACACACACACACACACACACACACACAATTTGGAATCCCTGTTACCTACGGAATAGCCATGCTCAGCATTCATAACATGACTCTCCACGTCTTCCTAGAGCCAGGTAAATGCATAAAAGATAATTCTCCACTCCGGCAAATCTGCCCCCACAAAAATGCAGATAACTCAACCATCTCCTCAATCTCCCTGGGTCTCACATTCTCTAGTAAAACGTTAGAAAAAAAATCTCTTTTCCAGCCATTCGCCCCTCTGAAGTGCTGATATAGCTTTTTCACCAAAGCCCTCTTTAGTATCCCGGCTATTTAATTTCTAACCCCAAAAAGAATGTACCAAACGCTGCAATGGACGTGCCCAGATTTCTATGCTATCTCGCCTAACACCTACACAACCTGGTCTTTCTTCTTCATCAAGTTAACTAGGTCTCCAATAAACTTTTTCTTCCTCATTGCATATATCACCCCATCACACACACACACACACACACACACACACACACACACACACACCATTCATGGTAAGGACTGACACAGTCAGATGGGAGCCAAGCCAGTCCCACATGTCAGAAAACAGTTCAATGCAACGCATTCAAAATGTTTAAATTATGCTATAGCAAACTGATTGCTTGCAAATACACAGCATATGAACACATAACACAGAATTCTCTGCACTGACCAAACACAGAAATAAAATGAAACAAAATAAAATGCAAATATCAAAATAAGAATGCACACCACCCCCTTGTGGAATCTTCTAGGAAGAACAATACCTTTTTACAACAAGAAGCCCCCCTCCCAGACCTCACCCCAAACGTCTTAAGTTGGGTCCGAATGGCACAGAGGGATCTTCCCATCCCAGATTCTCCCGAGCACCCGGTGCAATTCATCACGCGCGCACCCAGCTTTGGCGCAAGTACAAATCCACCCCTCAAGGTGGGCGGCCACGCAGTCGACCCCCAAAGCAACCTTTTGCACCCCGACGCTGCCCACCCCAAATCTGCATCACACTGATTCAGAACATAATTTACAAAGAGACTTCTGCACCTGCCAGTTGATTCACAGGAAGAAGCCAGGGAAGAGGAAACCCGCAGCCAAAAAAAAAAAAAAAAAAAAAAAAAAGGATGGAGGGCGGGAGGGGTACCAAAGCAAGGGGGATGTCCTCCGTGCGCCCCTCGTCCTCTAAGCGGGACATCCGTTCCCAGGGTGGCCCTGGACAGGCCTCTAGGCTGAGGAGGTTGGAGTGACCCCCAGCTCCCGCCCCCGCATCTCGGGGAAGAAAGGGCACAGTGTCTGCCTAGGAGCTGGCGCCGGAATCGTGCGCGCAGGGCCCGGGGCTGCACCGGCCACCCAGCCTCGATCTTGGGGGAGGGGGGGTGGATGCATAGCCCAGGGGGACCCCCTCCGAGACACCCAAGCATACCAGTTTTCGTAGGAGCGAAAGCACCAGGATGGATAGGGGAAAGGCTAGGAAAAGCGTCCAGGACTCTTTAAAGAAGGGTGCTTGTATCCCCGGGGAGGCGACCAGGCTGCTGGGGAAGGCGAGGGGGATGACAGCCAACAGCCGTGGGGGGCGGAGAGGGGGCGCGAGCGAGGAACTGGGCCTCGGCTACCACGACAGTACCCCCACCCCAGCTTCATCTGCAGCTGAAAGACACACAGACCTCCCTCCCTGGCTTCTTCCCTCCTCCTCTTCCTCCTCCT